AGACAGATATTCACATATATTATTTGAAATGGGGAGGGCGGCCTAGGCGCTACAGAAATGCCCTTCCTTCTCGCCTGACCGCCTGTCTCGTGCCCTGCAGGTCGACTCGGGGGGTCCGCTGGTGTGTGACGGGGTGCAGCAAGGTATTGTTTCGTGGGGCCTGGACTGCGGGCAACCTGGATGGACCACCATTTATACCAAGCTCTGTAACTACATCTCCTGGATCAACGAGACCATAGCATCCAACTAACAGCGTCCGCTCACTCTCCGCCAAACACCTGACCTGTAGTCACATTAAAGACCGACCTCTCTCATGTATTCCTGTCTCCCTTGTTTCTTTGGGTCTCCTGAATCCGAGGGAAGGATGTTCTGGTGATGGAGGGAGTGCAACGAAGCTTTAACAAACTGATTCCTGGGATGGCAGGTTGGATCCGTTAGGAGTTGGGAGGAATGACGGAGTTAACTCCCCGATAAAACCCTAACAGGATTAGACAGGAGGGATGTTCCCAATGACCAGGGGAGTCCAGAACTGGAAGGGGAATCGGCGGGGGGAGGGGGTTCATAGTCTAAAGGATGCCAGGGGTTAGGCCTCAGATGAGGAGAAATGTCTTTACCCGGAGAGAGTGTGGGATTCTCTGCCTCAGGAAGCGGTTGAGGCCGAAACGTTGACAGTTTTCAGGAAAGGGGGAGTGAGAGATCGAACTTGGGGCTAAAAGGGTTTAAAGGGGATGTGGGGAGAGAGCAGGGGGAGCAGGGACTGAGTTGGATGATCGTATTGAATGGTGGAGTAGGCCCGAAGGCCTACTCCCGATCCTGTTCTCTCTGTTTGTCGTCATATTCCCCAAACAGCAGCCCCCCCACCCAGGCGTTTTGGGAATTGGGTATGGGAAACGACACCCGGTGGGGGGGCTGGTGGTGGTGGTGGAGGAGCACTGAAGGGGTGGGAGGGGGGAATTGGGGGAAATGGCCAAGGGAGATTGGGCCTTGGTGCCCAGAACTGGTGCTGGTGCCCCACGTCGATCAGCTTTATCCATGGTGACCCCCATGTTTCTCACATTCTTTTCCACCTCCCCCCCCACCACCCCAGGCGGACCCACTTTCTCAGTTATGTCCATGCCAGTGTTCCCTGTTTGAATCTCCGCAGCTCAGCACCCGCACCCCCCCAAACCCCGTTCCTAACTTGCCCCTGGCTGAGGGCAGAGCCCTTGCCGCTGAGCAGGGGGTAACTGTCATGCCCACTGCCCTTCGCTGCAGGCCTGTCGACTCGCTCACCCACCCCAACTCCCTTCCCCCCAAACCCCCTCACCTCAGCGTTGTTCCTGAAAACCACAACGTTCCTGTTTTCACCATCACCCGCTCACCCGCTCAGAATGCCCTCGGCACCACCGTGCGATTTCCGCATTCAGCTGTCGCCTGGTCGGGTAGAAGGTCTCCCAGCAGCTGAGGACCGGGGGGCCTGTTGAAACCGTCGAGGATTGGGGGGCCTGTCGAAATGGTCAAGGATCAAGGGCCTGTCAAAACCACCGAGGATCAGGTGGCCTGTTGAAATGTCGAGGATCAGGCGGCCTGTCAAAACCATCGAGGACCGAAGGGCCTGTTGAAACGGTCGAGGATTGGAGGGCCTGTTGAAACGGTCGAGGATTGGGGGGGGCCCGTTGAAACGGTCGAGGATTGGGGGGACTTATTGAAACCATCAAGGATTGGGGGGGCCTGTTGAAACCGTTGAGGATTGGGGGGGGG